CCACAGTACCTAGCAGTACCTAGCAGTACTCCCACAGTACCTAGCAGGGTGTAATAATACATGCAGTTGGCATTTGATGAATGCTCGTGGAGTGGGATCGCACAAGAGAAGGAATACCTGTCGAATCCTCAGAGGGGTCAAAGGTAGTGCAGGGCATGATGGCTACACTGAGCTGGGAAGTTGGCTCCGGGTGGGGAAGGTGAGAACAAGGCAGTGGACCCTGCGACGGCTTCCACAGTAGACCTTCCAGTCCTGGATTCTTCCTTCCTATCATCATGCAGTTCAGACTTTTATAGATTTGAATCAGAGGATGCCAGGGGGCCTATCGAGAATACATGCGATGGAAAGATTGGAATTGTGTGGCACTGGACTGGCTGCTGTACAGATAGATTCAAGTTTTGCAATTATTCAATTACTCCTTCATTTACTTAGGAGCCCCTGCTTTGTGCCAGGTGTTATGCTAGGTGCTGGGGATACATGTAGCCTGCGTGCATGATATTTTGTTCCAAACTGGACAAGTAACGTCAAACGCAAGGATTCCTAATTCCTATAGTGCAAGACTATAGGGTTGCCTGTTAAACACTATAACCTTTCTGCTTCAAAATTGTTTCTCAGGCCACCTCACAATACTACTCACAGTCACATCTGGATTAATGAGCTGGTGTTTGCTAAGTCATTTGTGACTGCTGGGTGGGGTGGGCTCCTTTGGGAGTTCCTATCCTCTTTGAGGAGTACCCCCCACCCACAACCTCTTACATTCCTTTGTCTCACACACTATAAGGAAGGGAGGGAATCTCCTGCTGACATCAATTTTTAATTCCTTTTGGTTGGTGGTGAAGTAGAAGAGAGTGGCTGCGTGGCCTCCTCAGGGAGTACATTTGTGTATATATTAGTATTTATTAGTAATTAAATTTCTATGTTAGTCTGTAAGCCATAAGGCTGATGACTGTCTTTTTAAATGAATGCATTTGAATATGGCTAGGAACCGGACAAAGAGAGTATCAAATACATTCATTAATAAATAATATCAATACTGTGCATTTGTGGGCTGAAAATTTTTTTAACTTCAAAGAAGAGCTTTCATATCTATGATCTCATTTCACACTACATAATATGATTTTAAAACTCCTTTCTAGGGGCGGGTTGTTCCACGCATGCCCAGCTCGGTTGAGGATAATGCAGACCCGCCTCAGGCTACCCGACACGGCTTTGCAGTCCAAGGTGCATGCAAGTCCAGGTCCCCTTGGGTCTCTCCCTGCTTGTTAAAAAACTAAAGGCAAAGATGGAAAAATATGCTAATTTCAAGCTGTGCTGAAAGCACACATACACTCAGGTCATGAACAGGGGAACTAAGGAAGTGAGGCTTTTTTCTGTCTTTGGAGATTCTACAAACTGAGGCATAGATGATGTCAAACTAATGTCTGGCATCCAGAAAGCCCAGAATTGGAAACATTTAGTCTTCTGGGACTGGAAAGTCAGTTCCTGTTTATTTCTCGACAGCTGTGACTTTTTTCCTGTCAACACTTTCTCCATGCATGTGCCTTCATTTTCAAGAAGATATTTTTACATATTCTTCCCTGAGCTTTTAGCTTTTCCTGTATGAATTCCTCTGGAGTAAAAGCCCCATGTCACTGTTTTCCCTAAGGCTGGAACGTGGACCATGAAGTGCCCTTACTCTGAATTTGTTAGAGGATCATTTAAAAAATAACGCAAGTAGAAGAAAAAAAAATCCTTGGTGATGAGACTCTCCGCACCTCCCAGTCTGTATCGTCCTGAAATCAACCACAGTGTTTCCACTTCACAAGAACTCCGCTGTCACCTTCCCTCCAGTGGACAGAGTAAAGATTCCTTCAGAATCTCCTAGCTGGATATCTAATGAGACAGCAGGACACTGTAGGTGGTGGTAAATTCCTTCACCCTGATTGCTCACAAAGCAGAAATAACTAACCCGTGATTAACTATTTTAATTCTTTTATCTTGAAGGGTTAGTGGAAGGACCAATAACCCAGTTTACAACTATCAGTTGGTCCCACCACTTTGCCATCACAGCCCTGCCCCTTGGGACACTCTGACACAGGTTTAGTTTCCTACAAGATCCAGGTGCCCTTGGAGAATTAGCCTCACCTTGCCTGCTGTTTTGAGTAAGTGTAGTACATTCTGTGCCTTTGCATGCAGTGGGTGCTCAATAAATACTGAATGAATGCAGCCTAACATCTATCATTTGGTGTCACTGAGTCTCATTTCCTCTACGTAAAATGAGAGTATTGGCAAATGGCTGCTTTATATCTTCCAGTTTGAACATTCTATGGGTCCTTTTGGATAGCCATTTAAAATGATCTCCTGGGACTTCACTGGTGGTGCAGTGGTTAAGACTCCATGCTTGCAATGTAGGGGGCCCGGGGCTCTCTCCCTGGTCAGGGAACTAGATCCCATATGCATGCCGCCACTAAGAGTTCACATGCTACAACCAAGGAGCTGGCGAGCTGCCACTATGGAGCCCGCCTGCCGCAACTAAGACCTGGCGCAACCAAATAAATAAATAAAATAAATAAATAAATAAATAAAATAAAATATATACTTTAAAAAATAAAATAAATAAAACAAAATATATACTTTAAAAAATAAAATAAATGAATAGTATTTTTAAAAAATAATAAAATAATCTCCCATCGCCAAAGCTGTTTCTAAGCAACAGAACAGTACTTCCCTGAACTCGTTGTTTGACCTCTTCAGCCTAAAAAGATGTTTCTCCCTGAGCCTGCAGCATTACATTATCTGTAATACACATTTATTTATTATCTGGTGACACATCTCATGTTGGTATTTAGCTTTTCATCTGTGTAGATCCTGTCCTGTCCTTACAATTAGAGTGTAAGCTTCCCAAGCCAGATACTTTATAAAATGTGCTCTGTAAATATTTGTTACATAAACAGATATCACAGCAAGAAATCATCCATAGGGAATTCTGGGCCTAAGGGAAGCAGAAGAATCAACAGTGAGTCCCAAGTTTGTGGTTTGGGAAACTTGGTGTGTGATGATGCTGTTCTTCAAGAGAGAGAATCCTGCAAGAGGAACAGGTTTGGAGGAGGGTGGGGACGAGGTGAATTTAGTAACAAGCTGCATTCTATACCTCCTTCTTCGAGATCCTCAAAGAACATTAGCCAAGTAACGATTTTGAGATGTCAGATCCTGGACAAAGGAACTTATTTTACTGTGTGTAGCCTAGAGCTCCCCAAATAATTGAACATGATTATGGACACACTGATATAACACAAGAGAAGCAGGGCTATGAAGGAAGCCTGCAGGACAACTAACTTTTAAGGACTGGCAGGAGGAATTTGAAAAGGAGCATCCAGAGATGTAGGAGGGAGTTTTCACCCCTGGCTTTTAATCCTGGCTCACTCCTTCCACAGATACATGGGAAAACCAACTTCCATCTCTTGCCAAGGAACAAGAGAGCCTCTGGGCTATGTCTTGGAAAGTGCAGGTTTCTTTGGAAGAAAGGAGGCACTCAGGCACTTCTAGTCCAACTCTCATCACTGTCTCTTCTCAAAGAAATCACCTCCTTTGTTAAAAGGAAGCCCGTATCAACATGCTCAAATCCAAGACCATGAGAACAACACAACATCCATGCTTATAACTATAATCTAACTATATAACTATATATAGTTATATATGTAACTATAAATTAGATCTGATATAGGATAAGACAATACAAAACCTAAACAACATAGAAAAATAAATGACCTGAATAAGTTATCTGACTCACTCCCTGTCTTCTGGAACTATCCTCAAACTTCCCTTTAATGTTGCGTTTCAATCTCAACAGCATTTGTTTTTTTGTGTTTTTGTTTTGTTTTGTTTTCAATATCCCACATCTGTGTATGGAAAGTTGAAAAAAGGGTGAAAAGGACAAGAATGGAAAAACACAAGGCAGTAGTTTATGTAGGGCTCATGCTAGTGGGACTGTACAATGTAGCCACTTTGGAAAACAGTTTAGTAGTTCCGTAAAAAATTAAACATAAAATTAACGTATGACCCAGCAAGGGGTATGGGGTTTCCTTTTGGGGTGAATTAGAGTGTTCTAAAATTAAATAGTGGTGATAAATGCACAACTCTGTGAATATAGTAAAACCACTGAACTGTACTTCCAAAGGGTGAATTTTATGATATGTGAATTATATTTCAATAAAGCTATGGACAGAGGATCTGAACATTTTTCCAAAGAAGACACACAGATGGCCAGCAGTGCATGAAAAGGTGCTCAACATCACTAATCATCAGGAAAATGCAAATCAAAGCCACAATGAGATATCACCTCATAGCTGTTAGAATGGCTGTTATCAAAAAGGCAACAAATAAAGTGTTAGCAAAAATGTGGAAAAAAGGGAACCCTTGTGCACTGATGTTAGGAATGTAAATTGGTGCAGCCACTATGAGAAACAGTATGGAGGTTCCTCAAAAATTAAAAATAGAACTACCATATGATCCAGCAATTCCACTTCTGGGTATTTATCTGAAGGAAACAAAAATACTAACTCAAAAAGATATATGCACCCCAATGTTCATTGTAGCTTTACAGTAAGCCAAGACATGGAAAGAAGCTGTGACCATCAATGGATGAATGGATAAAGAAAATGTGATATACATATATGTATATATACACAGTGGAATATTACTCAGCCATAAAACGAAGAAAATCTTGCCTTTTGTGACAACATGGATGGACATTGAGAGCATTATGCTAAGTGAAATGTCAGAGAAAGACAAAAGATAAAGATCTCACTTGTATGTGGAATCTAAAAACAAACAAACAAAACCTAAACTCATAGATACAGAGAACAGATTGGTTGTTTCTGCCAGAGGTGGGGATGGGGATGGATGAATACGTGAAGGGGTCAAAAGATACAAAACAAACTTCCAGTTATAAAATAAATAAATCCTGGGGATGTAATGTACAGCTTGACTATAGTTAATTACACTGTATTTTATATTTTAAAATTGCTAAGCGAGTAGATCTTAAGAGTTATCACAGGAAAAAAAATTGTAACTATGTGTGGTGATGGATATTAATGAGATTTAATATGGTGATCATTTCAAAATATATAAAAATATTGAATCATGTTGTACATCTGAAACTAATATATTATATTATATATCAATTATATCTCAATAAAAAAGAAGAAAATTCAAGGTGGATAAATACTCTCTTTTCAAGAAAAAACATTCTCCAAATAATGGAAAATCAGTTACCTGTTGTTTGCTAGTTCTTCGTCCCTCAAATGCTCTTATCACCACTGGTTTACCTCCACAGCTGTACGGCAGCTGAGAGACAGCTGTTCTTGTCCCCAGTTCGTTTTCTCTAGAATAATTTGAGGTGGTAAAATTAATCTGTCTCTAATGAGATCTCTTTTTCTGCTAGAAGCGCAAATAACATTCAACTACTGGTTTCTGACGGATTTGTACCCACAGCTTTGTCTTTCCATTTCTATGACATCAGAAGGGACATGTTTGTTTATGCAGTTTATCTGTACATTTTTTAGGTCACTTTTCTATTTTTTTCTTCACATCTTTATTGGAGTATAAATGCTTTACAATGGTGTGTTAGCTTCTGCTGTATAACAAAGTGAATCAGCTATTCGTATACATATATCCCCATATCCCCTCCCTCTTGCATCTCCCTCCCACCCTCCCTATCCCACCCCTCTAGGTCATCACAAAGCACTGAGCTGATCTCCCTGTGCTATGCAGCAGCTTCCCACTAGCTATCTGTTTTACATTTGTTAGTATATATAAGTTCATGACACTCTCTCACTTCATCCCAGCTTCCACTTGCCCCCTACCCCCCACCCCCGTGCCCTCAAGTCTGTTCACTACGTCTGCGTCTTTATTCCTGCCCTGCCAGTAGGTTCATCAGTTCCAGTTTTTTAAATTCCATACATATGTGTTAGCATACGGTAACACGAGGACGAGGGCCTCCCCTGTCCTGCTGGACCCCTAACCGTGGGTGGGTCCCCCTGGGTGTAGGAACTCCTCCTCTACCCCAGCTGCCCCTCAGGGGTGCTGGTCCCCTTGGTCTGGCCTTTACTTTTTTTTTTTTTTTTTTTGCGGTAGGTGGGCCTCTCACTGTCGTGGCCTCTCCCGTTGCGGAGCACAGGCTCCGGACGCGCAGGCTCAGCGGCCATGGTTCACGGGCCCAGCCGCTCCGCGGCATGTGGGATCTTCCCGGACCGGGGCACGAACCCGTGTCCCCTGCATTGGCAGGCGGACTCTCAACCACTGCACCACCAGGGAAGCCCTGGCCTTTACTTTTGCTCTTCCTTTCCCTCCCTCCCTCCCACTCCCTCAGGACCCGAGTGGCTGGAAGGGTCCTCGGTGGGCAGGGGATCAGGCCCGGGATCTCAGCAGGCTCCCAGGGGCCCAAGTGGGCAGGGGAAACCTGGCCACGCTCCCTTTTGATCCTCTGCCCTCTCAATGGTCCCCCACTTTCCCTCTTCGGGCGTGGGATCCCTTCCCCTCCCCCAGCCGCCCCTCAGGGGCACCAGTCCCATCCCGCCTCCACGTCTCCTCCCCCTTCACTCCCCCCATGCCCCAGGTCCTACCCGGTCGCTGAGGGTTCCTCCCGTCCCCTTCGGTGTCCGTGGTCCCCCACTGGTGCCTGGTAGGTGCCCTAGTTGTGAGGAGACGCGAATTCTGCGTCCTCCTAGTCCGCCATCTTGACCCCACCCCCTCCCCCCCCAGGTCCCTTTTCTAAAACTCAGCTTTGTTAAGGTATAATTTATGTTTCGTCAAATTCACCTTTGGAAAGTTTCCAATTCAGTGAATTTTGGTGAACGCGTACAGTCATGTAATCACCGACAAACGAGATATAGACTATTTCCATCACCCTAAAATGTCCCTTTGTAGTCACGCCGTTTCTCCACATCTAGGCCCTGGCAGCCTCGCCCCCCGCACCATCTTACTTGATTTCTGTCCCGAGGGCACTCTTCCATCCCTATTTTGTGTTATCATTTCTCTTTAGGTAAGTCTCTCTACCACGCAGGATCCTGCTTTGTATCCCTGTAGAGCCAAATGTGGTACCTGGCACCCAAAATGTGCTCAGGAAATAGGTGCTTAAAAAATAAATGAATCACTTGTTTTTCAGGTTTTGCGAAATCATTTCAGAGACTCTGCTCTCTGATTTCCAGGATGTGCCGTTTGAAAAGGGGCTATTAATGCTGGGGAAAGATTTCTCCTAGAGTTTTAATTTATACAGTCTTTAAAAAAAAAAAATGGGCCATAGTTATTTCTAACTTCAGAGATTTTGCTGAGCATTTCAACCACTTCCTTAGACTTGGGACTTACAACTTTGTTTGCTCAACCAGCACGTGGGCCTCTGACCTCTCAACCTGAATAAACAGATGGAAATAGAAGCTGGGACCAAACGCAGCTGCTGCTCTCTCCTCCCCCTGTTCTTGCTGTCTCGGATCCCTCCACCTCCACGGGGCATGGCCCAGGGTATCCTCCGGAGCTCCCCTGAATAAGTTCTGTGAGATTCCAGACCCATTTCACGGATGACTCCGGGGGTGGAATCTGACGGTGGCTTAACGTTTCTCATCATGCAGGGTGTGACCCAGCTGCAGCTGGCTCATCAGGCGGGCTCAGATTCCTCTGGTCCTTCCTCACCTGATTCCTCTTCTATCTTGATGTGCATCCAAAAGTTGACATTCCTAGAGAAATGACAAGAAGAGGTGAACAAAATTCCCCCTTGTCTGACTAGTTATCTGAAATGGCCTAGTTCTCGAAGGGAACTGCCCTTTCTTGAAAGGTGTTGGTGCTTTCCTCTAGACTGGCCAGTTGCCCCCAGCTGATGCGTCCCTATGCACTTTCTGTGGGTTGGCAGTCCTTGCTAGGCCCTCTGCTCAGCTGGCAAAGGCCCAACAGCTCAGGCACATGAGAGACCCCTTTTTCCCTCTGGGGAGGTTGTACCTTGCCTCCCAGATGCAGTCTTGGTGCTGGCATCAAATTGGTTCCAAATGGAACCTCATTCCCTTTGTCCCCCTTTGCCCTCACACTTTGCCCCGTGGCTTCCCTGGAACAGCTCCGGTGAAGGACGGTTTCTGCTCCAGAAGACAGTGCACGATGTAAGCGCATCGCTGCCAAACCTTTCGAAGCCTGAACTCCTGATACAAGGGGGGGTGGAGGTGGAGGTTTCTGCTACCTGCTGCTAGGTAAACAAAACACCAAAAAGGTGGTGCATTTGGACACATGGAGTAATTGTGTAGTTCATAACCCTGTGGACAGATAAAGTAGTAATCAATGAAAGGGAGCTAAAGAAATTCTTACTACAGTAATGATGACAGGTTTGTGTGTGTGTGAGAGAGACAGAGAGAGAGAAAGAGAGAGGGAGGGAAAGAGAGAGGAGAGAGGGAGAGAGAGGAAGAAGATGGGGGTTGGGAAGGGAAGGTTCAGGGAAAAAGGGAAAAACAAAAGGGAGAAAGAAAAAAGAAGGGTTAAAGTGGAGGAAAGCATATGTCCTTCAGGAGGATCTTCTAAAGCTGCAACTCTCAGACTTTTGTTTTATTACTATCATAGTAAGAAATGTATTTTACTCCACGCAGGGCGCGCGCGCGCGCACGCACACACACACACACACACACACACACACATATACACACACACACACACATACACACACACACACACACACACACACAGAGATGTATAGACTAAAACAGAAAATAAGTTTGCGCGTAGCCAGCTAGAAGAGTAGGGCACTTATTTCCATCACACATCATCAGTGCGTGTGGCGTCGGGGGCGCTAGGGCAGCCCGCCCCCGGGCCGCGCCCAGACGCGCGCTGGGTCAGACGCCCCGCTCCACCCGCCGCAGGGCCCCCGGGTCGCCACACCCGCGAGGGAGGAGAGCGACCGGGTCGCGGCTCTGGGCTACCGGCGGCAGCTCCCGCGGCGGCGGCGGCGGCGGATCCAGACGCGACGCGGGATGGAGACAGACAAGCAGGGCTGCGTGCCCGCGTGGTGGCACATGGTCACGTGGAACCTGAGGTGAGTGCACGCCGCGCCCTGTGCGCCCCGGCAGCGCCCCGCCGGCTCCGACCGCCCGGAATGCGGCAGGGTGGGTACCGCCGGGCGGTGACGCAGGGCTGGTGGCCGAGCGCTGACTCCCGGGGCTTCGGAGGCCCCCAGAGCTCTTGGACGGCTGTATCCTCAGCCCCAACCCCTACCCGCGCCGGCGAGACTCGCACGTTTGATTTTTCAGGAACCTATATCCCTTTGGGGCTTCTGAACTAGAGATTCCAGAAAGCTGGTTCAGGTTCCTGTGCCAATCTCTTATCTGCCTTGACATTTTACTAACAGCAGGACGGATTTTAAAAAATAATAATAGTGGCAATAATAATCAGTGTTGTGGTCTTGGAAGGCATTCTGTTAGGTCAAGGGCCTATCTGTGTAGATGGAGAAGGATCGGAAGCCCACCTCCCTGAGTGTGAAGCGTCTGGCGTGTGAAGAACGCCTCTCCATAATGCTAGAGATGCATGGTACATTGAAACCATAACTTGGCATCACTGCCTGTGCCTAGTTCTTATATCCTTCAAATGTGAAATGTGTAGGTCAGCACAGGTTTTTCATTTTCTTCCTTCCATGAATCCTTGGCTTGAGCAGTCATCTTAGACTACTTCAATCGACCAGCAATGCACTGACAGTCTTGTTTGCGTTGAAGCCAGGTATTGGTTGGAGACCTTGGACCCGAAAGACTGCGTGTCTTGTTTTGTCTTGTTGGTGTGGGAAGGTATTGGCAGTTTTGTTTACCTTTCTTCTTTCTATTCCTTTGTTTTGCTTTGTTAAATTTTTGCTGATTACAAGATATCCAAAAATCATATCCAGGCACAGGAGACTTCACTTTGGAATGTCTGAGTGGTGAAGACGAACACCAATCTCCTTTCCTCTCTTCCTGCTATGGCCAAAGGCAGGAAGCAGAGAGCGGCCCTCTCCTGGCCCCGCGGTGCAGGCCGGAGCCCCCTTTCTGTGTTGGATCTGAACACCAGTCAGAATGTCCTGACTGGCTACACTTTTCACCATCATGGGCCTTACCTCCCAGATACGGTTGTTCTGGGAAAGCTAGCATTTACCACCTTTCAGTGGATGGCTGATTATTTAACATTTATTTGGGAGAGAATCAAAGCTGCAGTTCACACTTTTAGAGAACAGCCCACTTTGTTGATAGTGGAGTGGAGATGGGGATTTGGGGCCCCTTACTTGCCTTCGTAGTTACTAAAAATAATTCTCGAGATGCTTCGTGAAAGAATAAAATACTTGGGCATTTCTTCATCTGAGCAGAAAATCACTGATCTAATTTAGGCCGTGCTGAGGCACAGACTGATATCCAGCATCCCGAGTCCTTTTTGTTTCTTGAACCCTGGTTAGTTTAGCAAACATTCATGGAGGGCCTGCTGTGCACCTGGAACAGCCTGTAGCTGTGGATCTATTGTGATATGTTGTGAAACTCAGGGAGAACATTTAACCATGTTGTTTCAGTGATTATTTTTTAATGCCTTGGGGATCTATTTATTTATTTTACAAAAGTCTCATCAGATGTAGTTGCTTCTGAAGATGGATGGGCCCAGGAAAGTAAATCTCCAC